CTCCAACAGTTAGTGTTGGTTCTGCAGTGAGGTCTTTATAACTTACCGTACAGAACATGTAGAAGCCCCTCTGGGAACATCGCATATAGCTGTGTTTTGATTCAGCTACACACACCTGCGTCTGGCAGCTGCACGCTATGATGCATTAGAGAATGTTGTAAAAAACAAAAGTGCTTTGGCAGAAATGCTTACCGCACCCTTTATATTCATATTTGAAGAATTTAGTATTTTTTTTCTTATTTAAAAATTACTCAAAACGATTGATTCATGTAAGTAGTAGGCGATTAATTTTCTATCTGTCATCGAAACACTTGAAATGTTGCTGTATTGATTTATTTTCACCAAAAGTGCACCAAAATGTTAACTAAATCTGTTCCGTATTGGTGAATAAAGGAAATTACAAAAATATGTTTAATATGTTAATATTTGTGTGGAACCAGTTGACAAACTAGAATTATGTCTAACTAATTAGTAAAAAAAAAAATGCATTGGATGGAAACAAATGTAAAATATGTAGCCTGTAAATATATTATTTAAGTCCATGTAACTTAAAAAAAAAAAATAAAAAATTGTTGGTTCAATTAATTAAAAATTGAATGCATTAAATCCCTGAATTTGGCTGTATTTGTAAGATATTAAGCATATTTTTTAGAGAGCAGAGTCAACTATACCACCAAGGACTCAGTATATGGGAAGTTTAATTTAGGTTGCTGCTCCTGCTTTTGGATTAGGTGTCTTTTGAAAATGTATTCATTAACCTTTAGGTTCTTTTTTTTACAACTCTGTTTGAGATCTGGTATGCTTTTTGGGGCCCTTGAAAACCTCTGCTACATTTAGACCCCATCAGCAGTAATTATAAATCTAGATGTTTTTATGCTGAAAATATCTAGGACCTCATGGGCCACAATAGGTTTCAGTTGCACTCCTGTTTTTACCCATTTTCTTCTTCACTTTAAATTTCATCAGGTTGTGTCAAGCTAGCATTAGCATTCGTCAGCGTCAATTTACAGGTAGCATTAGCATTGTTCAGCATTAGTTATGGTGCGTTTCATTTACCTCTGAAGTCGAGCTGGGAATGACATCACACCCAAGTTGACCACGTTCCAGTACAACAGGTTGGAAAACCAAGCTTTAGCTAGGTTAGCCATTAGCCACTGTTCAATTCAATTCAATTCAATTTTATTTGTATAGCCAATTCATAACAGAAGTTATCTCAGGACACTTTTCAAATAGAGCAGGTCTAGACCGAACTCTTTATAACATTATTTACAGAGACCCAACAGTACCACCATGAGCAAGACCTTGGAGACAAGGGCAAGGAAAAACTGCCTGTTAAAAGGCAGAAACCTAGGACAGATCCTTCCGGCTCTAGGTGGGTGGTCGTCTGTCTCGACCAGTTGGGGTGAGAGAGAGAGAGAGAGAGAGAGAGAGAGAGAGAGAGAGACAGACAGACAGACAGACAGACAGACAGACAGACAGGTGCACAGCAACAACAGTATTGGCAATGGCAATCTAGCAGGACCATGGCAGGAGGCTCCACCAGGATCGATAAGAACCTGTGAGACAAGAAAGCACAAGAACTCCGGGGAAGAAGTGAAGTTAGTAACATGCATTAATGGAACATGAATGAGTGCAGAAAGAGAGAGGAAGAGAGGAGCTCAGTGCACCATGGGAAATCCCCCGATAGTCTAGGCCAGGGGTGTCAAACTGATCCATGAAAGGGCCGGTGTGGCTGCAGGTTTTCATTCCAACCATGCAGCAGCACACCTGACTTGGTTCATTCAATCAACTGAACTGTCTTCACACAGTCATTTCAGGTGTCCTCTTGCTTGATTGGAACAGAAACAGCCACCCTTGATTAAAGCGTGGGTGTGGCTGCAAGATTTTGACTGTGAAGACAGTTCAGTTAATTGAATGAACCAAGTCAGGTGTGCTGCTGCATGGTTGGAATGAAACCTGCAGCCCCACCGGCCCTTTCACGGATCGTTTGACACCCCTGGTCTAGGCCTATAGCAGCATAACTAAGGGATGGTTCAGGACTCACCTGATCCAGCCCTAACTATAAGCTTTATCAAAGAGGAATGTCTTAAGCCTACTCTTGAATGTGGAGAGGGTGTCTGCCTCCCGAACCAAAACTGGGAGCTGGTTCCACAGGAGAGGAGCTTGGTAACTGAAGGCTCTGGCTCCTGTTCTACTTTTAGAGACTATAGGAACCACAAGTAGCCCAGCATTCAGAGAACGTAGTGTTCTATTGGGGTAATAGGGTACTATGAGCTCTTTAAGATATGAAGGGGCGATGAAGAGCTTTATAGGTGAGGAGGAGAATTTTAAATTCTATTCTACATTTTACAGGGAGCCAATGCAGAGAAGCTAGTACAGGAGAGATGTGATCTCTTTTTCTAGTTCCTGTCAGTACTCGTGCTGCAGCGTTCTGAATTAATTGGAGCGTTTTAATGGACTTATTGGGGCAACCTGATAATAAAGAGTTGCAGTAATCCAGCATTGAAGTAACAAATGCATGGATTAGTTTGTCTGCATCTGTCTGTGATAGGATGTGTCTAATTTTTGTAATATTACATAAATGAAAGAAGGCGGTCCTAGAGGTTTGCTTTATGTGGGAGTTAAATGACAAATCCTGATCAAAGATAACTCCAAGATTCCTGACAGTGGTGCTAGAGGCCAAGGTAATGCCATCTAGAGTAACTATATCTTTAGACAGTGAGTCTCTAAGGTTTTTGGGGCCAAGTACAAGAAATTCGTTTTTTTCTGAGTTTAACATCAGAAAATTGCAGCTCATCCAGGATTTTATGTCCTTAAGACAATATGTAATTTAGATAATTGATTAATTTCATCGGGCTTGATTGATAGATATAACTGCGTATCATCTGCATAACACTGAAAGTTAATGGAGTGACTGTTAGCAATACTAATTGATAACAACACATGTTATGATGTATTTTGCTCATACAAAGACATCTACAGACTGATTTAATAAGACACAAAAGACAGAAGTGCTAATAAACAGTATATTACAGCTTTCACTTAGCTGACGCACAGAGCAGCCATCTTGGATTTTGAGGTTAGGGTTGGTTAGGTTCTTCCGACTTTCCTAGTTGGAAACCTGAATTCTGGGAGCTGGGAACTTCCCGGTTCAAATGGAATGCCCCTTTATTTAAGGTAGCCTAACATTAACAGTGACCCCGCCATCTCCCTCCTCTGTCAAAGCATTATTCTGACGTTCTAACACTGTTGATGTTATCCAGTTGTTTTTGTTAGTTTGAAGCGTCAAAGAAGTCACACATTTGTGCTTTGTCTCCAGTAAAGCTAGACCAAAAAGCTTTTTAATTTTTTCACGGATCACACGTCCATTTATTGTTATACTGATGCTGTAATTGAGTGCTGAATATTCCTGTCCCAGCGGCATTTACAACAGAAGCATTTACAACCATGGAACATCTACATGGAGAAGTTTTAATTGGACTTAGCATATAAAAGCAGGTGACATGGATTTTATCGCTATCCATGTGTATGAACAGGAAAAGGCAATGGCTGTTAAAGGATCATTGAAGTGACGGGGAAGATGACTGCAGTTCTAGCAGACTTTAGTTTTAGAGGGAACAGTTCAATTTGTTCCCCTGCTCCTGTCGATATACATCCCCATTATCCTGCAGAGTCACAGAGTGAGCTGGGGGGATGGAAGATGTGTGATGAGAAAGGAAAATGGAGAAAGCGGCAGGATGGATGTTGAGACAGGCAGGAGGACAGACAGAGAGGAATCCAGCAGACAGGAAGGCAGGCAGAGAGAGAGACAGTTGCCATTTTGCCGGCTCTCAGCCTCAGGCCAGACTGAGAGTGTGAGCCAATCAAACAGTGAGTCAGACAGCAGGTCTTCCTCCTCCCTGCTGGGATCCTCGCATTACCTGCACCACACACGCACGCACGCACACACACACACACACACACACACACACACACACACACACACACGTAGAACAAAAATACTCTATTATACAACACTGTTTTATGGACTTTATGAGCCTGTGCAGGTAGGGAAGGACTCAACATTTGCTGTAAATCCCCATACTGAACAACCTGCAGAGAACCATCATATTATATAAATATTATATCTTATTATGCACTTACCTACAGAGCATCACTCTATTTAAAAGCTCATATGTAGGGGTGTATATATATTTATAGTATATAATATAGATTTAACGGTTTTAACATTATAGATGCGACTACATCGTTACGCAGAACCCTGGATGGATCTAAATGTACCATGATCCAGTCAATGGTCCAATTCTAAACTTATGAATCGGTTGACTGAAGCTGCTAACAGCATCAACACTATTCTTATTTTATGCTATTAAATTGGCAAAGAATTCACAGTTACCGACAGTCAAATTAGAGTGGCTGCTTTTACCCAAAAGGGGGTGGGCCTTGACACAAGACCAAAGTACCCGGATGGGTTGCTCCCATTTACCCTTATCCTACGCAACAGCATTCGTGGCTTCAGTTAAGCTGATGTAGTCAGTGACATGCTGTTAAATTGCATTCAGACTATACACAGCCTTTTTAAGCATTTTCTTTTCAAACTCTGCAGTTTTGAAGAGGAAATAAAATTGTTTGGCTCTGTTAGAGTGAGTGAGACAAAACCCGCTCCTTTGAGTAACCTGTCTTTCCCTCATGTCAGGGTTAACAAACTCAGAGTTTTCAAAGTAATCCTGCTTTCTGAAACAGAGCACTGGAGTTCAAAGTCAGGGAGTGAAATGCATTAAACAAATAAGCAAAAATCATTCCGCTGTCTTCGCCACCACATCAGAAGTGTGTTGTTACTCTGAACTACTGTCACAGACAGACACACACAGATCAGATCACCTAACTTCTGTGTGTGTGTGTGTGTGTGTGTGTTGTGTGTGTGTGTGTGTGTGTGTGTGTGTGTGTGTGTGTGTGTGTTTGTGTGTGTTTGTGTGTGTGTGTGTGTGTTATGATGCTAGGTGTGCTGCAGAAGTGACCGATGGCTCCCAGTACTTCGTGCTGCTGATGATCACAGACGGTGTCATCTCAGACATGGCTCAGACCAAAGAGTCTGTGGTCAATGTGAGTACACACAACACTGCACCCTGCACACTGCACACAAAACGGTGTGTGGGGACAACACATAAGACATGGATGAGTTCCACACAGACCTAAGTTGCAATCTATCTTTCCTAAACTCTTAATAACATCCAGTCAGCAGGGGCAGATCTAGAGAAATAATCATGGGGTGACAGAAATATCTGCTGATTTAATCACATAAATAATTAACAATCACATATCAATATTTGCTTGGAAAAGTCGCCAAATTAAGATATTTGAACCCAAAAAACATTATTGTGGCAATTTGGTAAAACACTGAATAGAAATATCTAAAGGTGGTATTAGAAAGTAATGCATTGTTTTATTTCCATGTAGTCTAAAATGTTCATTACATTAATTTCCATTTTCAATATTATTTTTATTATTAATTTATGTGTTAAATCTGACACCAAACTAATGTCACAGCTGGGGTAGCCAGGCATTTCTCTGCCACCCCTCTAGATCCACGTCTGCCAGTCAGGGAAGCTGAACATAACTGAAAAGGAAAGAACAGAATATCAGAGACAGTAACAAAGCTGCACTTGGCAACATTTTTATGCAAAAAACAATCATGGTTATCCTTGATCATTAATATACACTGTCTCAAGTTGCCCCTTAGTCAAAAATGTAAATATTTTTATTTATAAAAGTCATTATTGGTTAGTCGGTATTATAAAGAAATGACAGGACTCCGTAGGAGGGGATTTAACAGATCCCGTCCTGTGCTGTGGTGGTCCCCAGAAAGAAAAGGATTAACACTAGAGACTAGGGAGAGGTGGAGTTCTTGAGGAAAAACAAAGGTATGAGGGGTATTTTGCATGAAACAGGCTTATGACATTTAATTAAGGGACAGTATTTTGATTGAGAAGCAGTTTACTTCTGCAGTACCTGCTAACACATTTAGAGAGAGGATAATACATTTTACTTTCTATTGCTTCAAGGCCATATTTCCAATTTGATTAGCAAAGTGACAAAGTGGCTTTTAGCAGTCATAGCAAAGAGAGAGCAAACAAGTAGAGTGCCACCTACAGAAACTTAAAGCTGCATTAATCAATATCCATAACCTTAACCGTACCCGAGTCCACATGTAAGAGCTGGTCTGGGTATGGCATGCTTCATTCAGTCAATTGGCCTCGCCCACTCATGAAAGAACAACAAAAGCAGAACAACAGACTATGATCAGAACAACAGTAAACAGCCAACCAGGGCAGTCTGGACTGTTAGGATCTCAAAGATGTAAATATAGTTAAAAAGCATTTTATTCTGATTGCAGCCAAGTATATTCAGGAATGTGTATATACTGTACATTCAAGCTTATTATGTGTATATTAGAGTGGGGGAACAGTATTCTGGCTCACACCCCTCCTGTGTTTTCGCCACAGGCAGCCTCCCTGCCCATGTCTATCATCATAGTGGGAGTGGGCCCTGCTGAGTTTGATGGTAAGTGAGTGTTTGTGTATATGTGTGTGTGTGTGTGTGTGTGTGTGTGTGTGTGTGTGTGTGTGTGTGTGTGTGTGTGTATGTGTGGGTCAGTTTGGAGTTTTCATCATCTGTGTAGCCAAAACAATCAAGGAGCCATTTTGTTTGATGCATTGTTAGAATAATACATACATACATACAGTATATATGCAAATGTAATCCCGTTAAATGCCTCTCAAAGTTTCCACAGCATGTAAATCCTATCCCCCTCACCCACCCTTGCTTACATGCCTGTGATATCAGCCAGCCATCCACACTGTTCAATAATTTACCAGGGGACTGTGGTAAGCCACGGACAGGAAATGTCAGTACTGCAAAACAGCAAAAAACATCTCACTGGTAAAACCCAACAGGTTAAGACTGAATAGATAATACATGCATGAAAAGTCCAGATGAGAATAAAATGACCCCAGGGAATTAATAATTTGGTGCTCCTGAAGAAATCCCTTAAATGGTGCTTTCAGACAGGAATAGACTGTGCTATATTTCCATTCAGAGGAAATACTGATACCAATGTGTTCTTAAAGGATACTACTGAAATTCTTTTATCATGGCATTATAGAGGAACATTTCCTGAAGAAAATGCATGTTATCGCTATGTACAAAAAAATCCCTGTTGGACATTGTTGTAGCAGTGTTGGTGACTACAGTGTTATCATAACCAATAGGAATGAGCACTAAATCTAAGGAAATAAATCTGTTTAAAACAAACCATTAAACTATTTTTTGATTTACCAAAAATGTATCATTGGTGGACAACATCTGCTTTTCACATGTGCACACACTGTCTATCAGATACCTAGACCTATTTACAAAATCTGTTTCCATGGAAATGTGAGAGTCTGGCTTCCTCTTGTTTAGCTTTATAGAGAACAAATGGTTTAACCTGCCCTCTTTCACACTAATCAGAAGTACTGTTAGTTATCTAAAGTGAATAACCTGCTGCTGTACTCGGATAAAGGATGACGTGTTGGAAATCCCATCTGATGGGGACACAATGCTCAAACAGAGATGTTGCCCCTCAGGTTTCCTCCACTGAATGTTGTCTGTGGGAGAGAAATGTAAAAAGAATGCTGATTGTCACACGATGGGTTTTAATGATTCCGCTTTCATTTTAAATTCATTCATTTTGCAATGAAACAGATTTATCTCACACAGGAGATTTGAAGTGTCATGATGGGCTGTTGTATACACTTAAGAAGTTTGTCTCACCGGCTCTGAGCTGTGTCTGTAGTCTGTAGTTTTCCTCTTTGTCTGATGAGGGAGATGGTAATTAGACGTTTGCCAAAATGTGTTGATTTTCCACTGCAAGAGTCCTGGCAGATATACACTGTGTAATTGATTTTATTTTTCTATTTCCCAAAAGCCAAAGGCAGTGTCTTTCCAACTGAGTAGAGAACATGTAGAGAAATTTCCTCTTTTCAACATTTCCACAAGCTTGATATGTAATTAACCACCAGCCAATAACAGCACGTCTTTAATTAAATTGGCAGTTTTTTTCTCTCACAGTTCAGTGTTGACGAATAGTTTGTTACAACATGGGTTTTCATAATACTGATCATCAGTAACTGATTATTTTTTTATAAATTCATCTGACGATTATTTTACGTTAAAGGTCCAGTGTGTAACATTTAGGAAGATCTATTGTCACAATCATTGTGATTATTCATTAGTGTATAATCACCTGAATATAGGAATCATTGTTTTTTCATTACCTTAGAATGAGCTGTTTTCATCTAGGACAGGGAAGGGAAGGGACAAACCAAACACTGATAGGGGCATCTGCATTTTTGTCACGTTTTGCGCCCACCATAGTTTCTCCTTTGTGTATTGAAAAGGAGGGTGAAGCGAGGGTGTACCGGAAATTCCAGAAAATAGTGAAAAATGTCCAAGGTGATAATTGTCATTTTGTCAGTCCAAAACCCAAAGACATATAAAACAGAGAAAGGCAGGAAATCTCCATATCTGAGTGGCTGAAAGCAGCATTTTCTGTGATTTTTGTTTCAAAAATGATCTGAATAAGAAAAAATATATATTTTTAATGATTAATTAATTATCAAAATAATTGCTGATTATGTTTCTGTCGATTGACGAGTAATTGTTGCAGCTCTACGTCAGTAATGACAACATTGTCAACAATGTCTGTTCCCAGATCTCTAAACATATTCAATAGAATTCATGGCCAAGATACAAACAACAAAACCCTAGCTTTCCTTTAAAGCTGATATTTTTAAATGAAAAACTGGTCAAATGGCTCTGTTCAGTGTACATGATTACAGACTATTTGTTTTCAGGGAAAAAGCTCCAATAAACCCACATTACACTACCTTCTCAGCACCATACAGCAGATAGAGGTGACAACTAGCTGGGGAGCATAGTGGAACATGGAGCAGATAAAGACCCAGATATTTCATTTTTAGATGGTAAATGTCAGAGCAGACTAACGATAGTTTTGAGATGGTCACTGTTTCAGGAGATGATAAAATCATTCATTCCTGCTGTCACATTGCACACATCAGACCTAACCAGGGATGGACTTTTTTTTTTCACCAACAACCAGTGTTTATTCTGATTTAATTTTACAGTTGCAATGAAAATAAATTTAACATCATTCCTCTTTCACATCTCCTTCACATCATGTTTACAGCTCTATGCTCCTATGGGCCAACATCGCTGCACTGTAATGCTGTGAAATTAGGCAATCTAGCTCTTTTCGTCTGTCATTTGTCTTCCACTATGACATACTACTATTCTCACTGTCATCCTCAACACGACACGTCAACAAACGGACTCCTATCAATGTTAATGTTTCTCTATGTGTAAATGGCAACTTGGCAATGTTCCTTATCAGTTGCATCTGTATAAAAAAAGCTGTACATAGTGTACATATAACTCTTTTTCTATTTTTTCTTTCTTATTATATCTTGTATTTTTCTTTGTGTATTGAATGTGTATTTTCTTATCTCTTGTGCTGTGTTACATGTGGAGCTGCTGTAGCGAGTACATTTTTCTAGTGTGGGATCAATAATGTCTATCTTATCTTATCTTTGAACCCAACTTCAACATTTCGTGTCACATTGCACTTTTTCTAAAAGAATATAATAAAGTTGGATCTGTACTAAATTTAAAAAATCCATGCGCTAGCTCACCGCGAGTTCTACTGAAATGCATCAGTGACTTTCTTAAAGTTAATTGGCAAAATGATTAGAGTTGAATCACCAGATGAAGAAAGGTAAAGCAGAAAATGATTCTAGCTGAAGCCATTGGGACCCACTATTCTGTGCGCAGTAAAGCTGGGGTCAAAGGTGAACAACTGTGTGTGGCAGAGAAAGAGAAATTAGAGAGGAGATGATGGAACTGAAAGAGCACGACAGCAGCGTGGAGACTGAGAGAACAAGATGGTAAACGCATCATCATTTACCTCAGTCTCCAATTTAATTACTGAGTTCTGTGAGGAAAGAGGATCGCTTAAGTTTAATCAGTCAGCACCAAAGTATGAGAGACTTAAGGAAATCAAAGAGCAGAGCTTAACTGTTGTGTTCAGTGAATCATCTGTGATACTTCTTTTACTCACCATTATGACCCTGCAAAACATTCTCTGTCACTCAGCGTACAGAACTTCTTGACGTGTGCCTGATTTCCCCACTGTGACGCTTGAAAAGCTTCAAAAGCAGACACGTCGCTCACAAAAAGTGAATAAATCAGCTGCTCCTCTTGTGATTTCCATGCTCAAAATGTATTCAGCTACTGTTTTTGCCCAGGTCTGCTCCCTTGTTGACTTCCACACATCACTCACCCCCAAGTCAGAGCCAAGCCTCACAGGGAGCGCCGTGTGGGGATCAGCCTTTTGAAAATCAAAATGTATTATAACCCATTCTGTTCTCGACTGTTTCATCCCTTCTTGCATCTTTTCTTCTCTCTCTCTTTCTCTCTGTTCCCTCAAACTCATCTGTTTGTCTTCCCACACTGCTAAAAATACATTTCACATAAATTTTAGGATATGTTTGAAAGTTTTCAAATGAACAAAACTGGGCCATGAATGTGTTTGTATGTGTGTTGCTTTCATTCGAGAAATGTTTGAAGGTAACAGAAGATAAGATTAACTTTTGTTGATCCCTTTGGGAAGATTAATTAGTTCAACTGAGCAATATTACACATCAGAAAACATCAAGTAAAGCATAAGGTATACTTTAAACTCTCCTTCCAGTCAGAAATCAGTGTTTCTCCTTGTTCCCACAGTGTGCTGTTTGAATGAAGTCTGTGCAGAGTTTGACTCTAGAAGGATGTTTTCACATTTATCTGCTGAAGGTGGAAAGGTTATCTGTGATCATTGAAAATCTGATCAGTCCTGGTCCAGTATGCAACTTGTACAGTGTGATGTAGAAACTTGAAGCCACCAGTGCACATCCACTGAGAATGGACTTTACAGTGAAGTAGGAGACATCTTGTGTCCAGCAGAAAAAAAAACATATCAGACACACATTGTTCCAAGAAGACTTATTATATGTATGTATTAATACATATCTGGAGGGGACAGAAATGAACAGTATGAAACGTGTGAATAACATCAAGAAACAGCAAGATGCACCTTTTTTACAGAATGCATCTGCAGAGAGATTCAGTTATTCTGAATGAATAACACCTATGAACCAATTTTGATTACCATATTCTGACATTAACAGTACATCTTTTGTCTCGTCTGGATTTAGCATTTACTTTTGAGGTATTTCTTCTTTATTAGGTAATGTGAAGTTAAAGCTGCAGCAGGTAACTTTTATAAAAATTTCACTGTATTCTGACAGTAGTACATGAGACAGATAATCTGTGAGCCAGAGAAACCTGATTTTATTTGTCTCATGTACTACTGCAAATATGACAAAAAGTTATTTTTTATAGAAATTACCTGCAGCTTTAAAGGAACTGTGAATTATAAGAGAATACTAATTAAGATAAATACTTAAGATAAATAATAAGGCTGATGAACCACAGATCCCATGAAAAGGACAAAACCATTCACAATTAATGGATCCCATACCTTTATTACCATGAACACTCACAAGTTTATTTTGACTCAATCCCACATATACCGTCCTGCTGCCCCAAATACTCACTACAGCACCAAATGTGGATTAATTCACTGCTGGAAGAAGTCCCCAGCACATGCACTATTTACTCTTGTTTGAGTTTGTTAAAAAAAATTGTTTTTTAGAAAATGAATCTATATATTTGTGTGGTGTCGTAGAAATCAGTGGGAATGGGGCTGAGAACCACAGGCATGGAAGTCAGGAAGTACTGAGACATAGACTAACACATTGTTGATTCTGGTCTTTTCATGGGATTTGTCAACAATAAGCAAAATACAGAACAATCCTAGTTTTATTCTTTGATGGAATTATTTATGTTACTGCTGTGTTTGGACGTTTTTAATAATCACAACTACAGGGGAGCCAGGGGGAGCTGGGCTCCTCTTAATAAGACATGAGCTCCCCTGAAAACTTGATTTGTAAAGTTTTGGGGGGTCTCTAAAATATTGACAATATGCTATTTTTGCCATGTATTTTTATTTTTCTATTTCTGTTAAGTTGGGCTACTGTTGATGTATGATTTGTGCTTTAGGGTGATTCATCACTAATTCACCTTAATAAACATACTACTATTCTTACTGTCACCATTGAAGCATGGCAGCACAATATCATTAACTTCATATCAGAAAATATACTTTAAATAAACTTTCAGCAAAGTTTCTTTTCTTTAAATCTTTGACCTAAAGTTCATGATACTGTGCCACCATGCTTTGATGGTGATGGCGAGAATAGCATTATCCATGATTATGAAGATACAGAAACATAGAAACACATGGTGAAAAAAGCCGATTAAACACAATGTACAAGAGCAATAAAATCCCACAGTGTCATTCCAGTTCTCTGAAAAGTCAAGCAGACTTCTGTGAGACTGACCCTTCAAGAACTGAGGGGGTCAGTGAACAATGATGTACGCAAAAAACAGATGGTAGCCAAAATACAATGTGATCGCAGTTCCTCTCCATAATGTGTGGTTGAAGATTGTGAGATCAATTCAAGTCAATGTAAATGAGTAAACAAGTGAACAAACAATATATTTTTTTTTGCTAGCAGCATGGCTTGATGGATGGTCGGTCCACCACTTTGGTCGAAACTCAAATACCTCAACAACTGATGGGTGGACCTTGAAATTCTGTACAGACCTGTTGATGATCTCTTAACTTTTCAGCCGGTCAGTTTGACCAACACCTATTGTGAAATATCTCAGCATAGGTTAGGCTAACCAGCTCCGTAGAACAGGACCCTGTAGATAAAAACAGTTCATTCTAAGGTAACAAAACACAATGATTATTATATTCAGGTGATTATACATTAATGAAAACAGTCAGTGTACTTTGCAGCCAATTGATTTTTGTTTTTAAAATCAGAATACGAGTTGTTTCCTGACCATTTATAAATATGGGGAACAAAATGGGTTGGTTTTCATTTTAATTTTTCATTTTCTGTTTTTTTATTTTTAAAACAAATGAAAATGAGCATCAGATCCTGAAGTTGGAGCACTGAGTGTTATTTCCACACATGCCTCTGGGAGTGTAGGCACAGTGCAAAGTCTGTACACAGCCACACACTTAACATGTGATATTCAGGACAGCAGGAGGTTTCAGGTTCGGTGTCTCTGTGGACCTCCCCTCACATGCCAGGGTTCATCCAGCACCCCCAACCCCCCCTTCACTACCACTTTAACACCTTCAGCCTGAATTTATTTACAGTATATTCTATCTCTCCTGTATCTGTCCTGTCCCAGTCTATCTCTGGCCACAGTTTCACCATCTACTGTCTTTTACATGAATGTCAAATTATTCCTTCCTCCTCTTCTTCTCCTCTTTTCCCTTGCTGCTCCCGACCACCATCTGCCATGTCTGTGTGCCATGTGGAGCCTCACCAGTCTTCCATCAGCATCCCTCCCTCAGCATCCCTTCCTTTCCTCTTTAAATAAATATAAATATGAGAAGGATGTCTCTTGGGAATGCCACAGATTGTTTATCACTCGCTTTGTTGATAAGAAACTATAAATAGACTGATGCAGAACTCAGTCAGGAACTTTACCTTCCTTCCTGTGGCCTATATAAGCACTAATGAGGCTAGGTTACAGAATATGTTATTGTTTCTTCCTCCACTTAGACAGCAGCTGAGAACAGATGTGGCACAGAAAGACCACCAACCTGTCTTTAGTCTGAACTTTCTGTTAGTCCCTGAGGACTGTTGGCAGCTGGGTCTGCACTTGTGTTCTCTCTGTCTCTCCCCTTTCCTATCTAAACCTGTCCTATCAAATAAAGGAATAAAAAGCCAAAAAAACAGGAGCAAAACCTGGCAAGAAAAGCACCTCGGTACTGTATTCTCTGTCATTGAACTGGCCTCCATTGGCATCAGATGCTGTATCCGGTCCCGGCCTGTCCACTAGGAGCTGCCAGTCCAGCAGAGTCAGCTATAGGTCTGCTATAGGTCTGCTATAGCTGCATGGTCAGGGGACGTAATGCACATTCAGTGCTATTGGTTACCGTCCTTCCCTAGCTGCCTGTTTTTACAGTATATAGATGTAGAATCAAAAAAACCCTACCACTTCTATTCGATGGGGATCACCTGCTGGACACAAGGCTTCAAGTTTCTACATCACTCTGTACAAGTTGCATACTGGACCAGGACTGACTTCCTAACTGTTTGTGGTCAAATCACAAATCATGCTGGTAGGCCTTAAAAATCAGATTTTCAAAAAAAAAAAAAAATCACTTTCAGCAGATGAATGTTAAAACATCCTTCTAGAGTCAAAGTCTGCACAGACAGCATTCAGACAGCACACTGTAGGAACAAGGAGAAAACTCTGCCTGAGTTCTGTCAGATATAGTTTCATCAGCAATGGTGGTTGTTGAACAAACAAGACAACTCCCATGATCCCACTACTTCATGATTATCAAACTATGTCTTTTGTTACTGTTTTGATGTGAGAGAGACCCTCAACGGGCGGAAAATGAAATATTGTACATTTAAAAGGCTGCATAGATTTAAGAAGTCTGCTCCTTTCGTCTCCTTATCCAAGGTAAAACAAAAACATTGGCACAAAGATCAGCTCTGTCACACAATATTATATAGTCATGTTTGTTACCAGTGTTATTGCAGAAGTACACAAAGAACTTGTCTTCAAGTGTGGATAGTTTTTTCAGTTATTGTTTAGAGAATTGGTAAAAGAGAAAAAAATAAATGTTCTGTTAGCGGCTGAAGTTTTCCCCATTTGTCCTTTGAGACATAATTAGCTTTGTTTACTCTGGAAGTCAGTCAAGTTAGCCAGACAGCAAAAGTTTTTGTGCTGTTGATTTATAATGAATTGCACTAATGGCCGAGAAAAACTGCGATTTTGTTTGTAACAGAGAAAAGATAATAATGATCCACACCAACTGTGGACGGACTGATCTTCATACTCTGTCTGCTAACATACAGCATGGGAAAATAACATGAAAACAACAGCACCGGACAGATTCCTCTTTTTTTGCCATGATTATACCTCTTCTAACAGTTTAATGTTGCGTTTGTTGTCTGCAGCTATGGAGGAGCTGGATGGGGATGAGGTCAGAGTGTCATCCAGGGGACGCTTTGCTGAGAGAGACATCGTCCAGGTATCGTATACCCTGACCTTTAACCCTCAGGAGTCACAGATTTAGATGTTGTTCTATTTCAACATAGAGAGAAGATTTCTTGTACTTACATATGCTATGTGCTAGGCTAATCTATGTTTAATCTACATTTTGATGGTTAAAAAATAAATGTGACATATATTCACATTAAGTTAGCTAATGTAAACAAAACATTACCTGACCAGCTAACTAACCACTTATGTAAATTTGCTATCTAGCATTTTGCTAACATTAGCTAGCTACCTAGCAAGTGTAACATTTAGGAGGGGCTGTTTTTATCTGCAGAAGTCAGCTGGGTCACCTTAAACTGTCTGTAAACTGTAAATATTTCTACAGTAGCCAAGAACGGACAAACCAAACTCCTGGCTCCTTTCAAATGTTTTACGGCGCCATAGTTTCTCCTACAAACTTCACAGTCCGTTCTCAATCCCAGGTCGTCAAATCTAGACATGACCGGTGTTCAGTTAGTTGCAATCTGGAACTACAACACTAGATGCCACTAAATCCTTCACACTGGTCCTTAAAGATGTGACTATGGCTCTTTTATCTTTTAAAATGTGGTTTTCTTCTCAACATTAAACAGTAAATTAAATGAATTCAACTGCAATACTGAACTTGTTTTCAATAGCCGTTGCTAACTGCATACCAACAAGCACTCGGTAAACAATTTCACAAATAATTCCTGCTTTTCTCACGCAGTTCGTACCTTTCCGGGACTACATTGACCGTTCAGGGAACCAGGTCCTGAGCATGGCCCGACTGGCTAAGGATGTCCTTGCGGAGATCCCGGACCAGCTGCTGTCCTTTCATGAAAAGTCGAGGGATTGAACCCCGGCCCCCTCTGCCCGCCACCTCCGACTCCCCCTCAATGTCCACAACCACCACAACCACCACTGCTGCCCCCAAGGAACGCAACATGCACGCCTGAAATGAGGGCAGCGAGCAGTATGTGTGTGTTTGTGTCTCTGTGTGTACGCGTGTTGCATGGTTTCAGGGTTGGTTGACGGGAACCAAGTCCGGATTTTGAAGTAAATTGAAAGGGACACCTACCAGAAGAGAATACATTCCTTTAAAAGTGTCGGGGGTGAGGATTCCCCCCTCCCCCCAACAAGATCTGAATTTTAACATGGCACACGCCCTCTGCAGGTGCAACACACCACTCTGCACTCACCCACAGACTGCATTTAAATCAAAGGCTTCAAATGTAGTTTAACACACCTCAGTCATCAATTCTAACATTTCAAATAAGTGACAAAAGCCTCTACGGACCTTTTTGCCAGTCCATGGCTCCGCCCACCCCACCTGTGGTACTGTTCCTGCTCTCAGTGATAAGAGTGTCTGCTGTAATAGAGTAATAAATCCTGTAGCCGGGCAATTGATTTCTATTAGTTGTAAAGAGAGACAGCACTGAGGCTGATGTCCTTTCCTTGTTTGTTTATTCTCAGGGCATTTGAAAGGTTAGACAGCAACACAGGGGATCTGAAACTAGAGAAAGCAGAAATTAAATCCTGTCCTGGCTGTGGCATCTGAGAGTCAGTGTTTGTTTTATTGCTTCATGAAAATGAATGCTGTATATTACTGTGTGCTGAACATGAAATTCAAAGGTGTTTTTATGTAAAAGGCCAGCGAACATTAAGTCAAAGATGGAGCATCGGCGTGTCCAAACTAATCCCACTCGGACACAAAGGACCTCTTGCAAGGACCTCCTGAAGGCAGGAAATATATAAGCCATGAAATTGGTTTGGGACAGAGAACAGACTGAAAGCTGAACATAACCATGTCTGTGTGCTCTGCTGCCCCCCCCCTAAATTTTAATTCTCAGCTGGGGCTGTCATTGGGGATGAATCATTCATAAGGTGGGTGCCTCTAGTTCTCCAGCTGTCCGGTGTACCTTTTTCAAATGAATAGAGCTGGTCAGTGCGCATTTCACAGGCCGGAATATTTCATATGTAGCAGAGAATGTGTGAAAGCGTCAGGGTCACCTTTGCTTTTTTTTTTTTTACTGAAAAAAAGACGCTAAGAAAAACTGGTGAAAGGGAGAGTGAGGTTTGGTACATGGTGCTGCTTCAAAGTCACTCAGACTGCTTTCAGGGGGGTTGCAGTGTGCTGACTACTTATGGAAACACATTTTTCTCTCATCCGTTCTGGTGTTTGATATATGGCTGCATATTTCCTGCTGCTGTCAGTCAGGGCTCATCAGCTACCGTATAAACAGGCTGATTTGTAGTGAACTTTTTCCAGACTTATCCTTTTTTCTTGTGATTTCATTTGTTATGCCTTTATTGTGTGCATGAAGGATTCAAGCAAAAGTGAACTAGTGCTTGTGTAGAAACCCCAGATTTGTTTCACTGTTAGAAGTTGTGCTCCCTTTTTCTTATGTGCACTCTTTAAGGGCCAGTATGTTAACATTTAGAAGGATCTATTCATCTATTGTTGTTTTCATTAGTGTATAATCACCTGAAAATAATGATCATGTTTTTGTTACTTTAGAATGAGCCGTTGCACAGAAGGAGAGGGTGAGGTGAGGGAATTGCAATCAGCACTGCTAGATGCCACTAAATCCTACACACTGGTCCTTTAACAGATATTCTGCAGTGCCGTCTACTCTCCGGTTACCATATGGTCTCAGAGCTAACCAATCGCCTGGGGATTTCTAAATGTAGTTGCTTGAACAGCGGCGGAAACAGCCGCTAACAAACATATGCTTTACCTGAAACAATGCTTTCCCCTATTCTCCTCCGAGAATAGGGGAGAGCTGGAGATATAGCGATTCACTTTGTAACAAGGAGAAAGCTTTTTAAAACAATGAAAATGGATGTCCTGATGTTATATGGTATCACAGTGTTTACAAGCACACAACTTCTGCATGTTACCGTATAAGGTGGATCTATTGGGGTGGCAGTTGTCATCCCTAAAGAATGCCAGGCCATCCTAGCCGCCACAGCAGTTTTGTATCAGATATAACACATTTATTTAGATTTATTTATTTAAAAATAACAGAAGAGGTTCCCTGATAGCTCACCTGGTAGAGCTGGTGCCCCATATACTAAGGCCGAGTCCTTGCTGCAGCAACCATGGGTTCGAATTCAACCTTTGCTGTATGCCTTTATTCTGTAATGCAGGTAGTCTCTAAATGTTTCCAGTTTTAGTAACAAAAGCTGAGAGAAAGTCCTCAGTCTCTATTGAGCAAAGTGTTTAGAGTCTAGGTTCAATCCAAACCTTTTGTCTCTGACCCTAAAGAGGAATGGTTCAACTTGACAGCATCACAAAAATAGAAAGCCAATAAAATCTATAATGAATGGATTCATCAGGATTGGTCTGGAATATTAAACATGTATCATATTGTATCAGAAAGGAAATGGATATGTGGCCTTATTTCTGTCATAATCCTACAAGTATGTGCGAGGGAGGACTCTATTTTTATATGACAAAACAGGAAATCTGTGTTATTTTGCATGCTTACTTGGCTGATATGCTGCCAATGATTGTACTTGTTCAGAAAATATGTATCTTTCTTTATATCTAAAAATGACTTCAAACAACATTCCTACATGTGCCGTGCAGGAGTGTTCATTCTATTTCTACTGTTATTGTGTACAGTATACTTGAAGGAACTGCCAATGTAATAATCCAAAACATAAAGGAGATACATAAATAGTAGATTAATAGATTTGTATCACACAGTGTTTAAAACATGCATGCATGTGTGTGTTATGACATGTACACCAACCCAAAGTCACATAACGTATTGGATATTTTTGTATGAAGCATGTTGAGCTTTCTATACAGTGTGTACAGTATTACTTCATTACACTGACAAACAATATACTGCTCACTGCTTCTCCCCAGTCTATGTGCTCCGTACAGCCTACGTGTAGGTAAAATGTAAATTCATCTAAAGTGATTTACAGGATATTTTGTGAACAGTCTTCCTTCCTTCCATTTTGTTCCTCTCTGATACTCTAACTGTCTTTGATTTTGTCTCCATTTGGTCAGAGTTTAGTTACATGTTTGTCAGTGTTTTCTAGCTTTTGCTTAGAAACCAAATAAAGATGTTATATAATGCTCATCTCTAGTCTGAACCTAGCATTGTAGTCTGTTTCTATTTATTTATTGGGTTATGTTAGGGACAGTTAAAAACTCTTCTTCAGCCAAAGTATGAACCTTTTGTGACGTCACCCATTGGTTTGTGGAGTACCGTTTCGAAGCCTCGAGTTCGGCGTTGAGCTCGTCGCCATGTTGTTGGAGCCAGTGGAGGTGATGTACTGCGAGTTGTGCTGCTCTCTAGCTGCGCAGTTTCGACTTGTCCTTAGCAGGAAACAATGGCGGCTCGTATTCCAGATAAACAGTACACTCAAATCTGGATCCATATCTGATCAGCACTGCCTAGTTTGACAGTTTGATCTGAGTTTGGTGCGTTGAGCTGGACAGACTCACTGAGAATGACCCGTCAATCACAAGGTATCCCCGCCCTAAAGCATACCCTGCTTTATGGTCTATTTTACTGTAAATGGGACCATCAGTTACTAAATGAACATCATGCTGTATGGAAGAAGACTGAAACTAGAGATTGAGACCATAAACTCATTAGGAAACTGTTTACTGAGCTCCTAAATCAAGTCAGAAGTTGGCTAAATTCTCCATAACACTGCATGGTACCGGTTTTATTGCAGCCAACGGAGTTCCACATCAGCTATGTCCATTATATATACTGTCTATGGTTCGGCCTTTTATTTAGTGTTTCTTAATTTAAAAAAATATTGGAATATTCATCAATTTGTTGTGTTTGCCATGTACTTGGAAATTGCAAATTCCACTTCTAAAGTTGTCACATTGGTAGCCATTGTAAAAGGAAAAATAAATGTATATATTATTTATTACACTAGCTTAAACAATAAAGATGCTTTACCTATTTTAGTTATAAATGGTGAATATGAAATATATTGGAGAGATATTGAGGGGGTAGGTGAAATTGGAATAGAAGATCCCACTTGTCCATACAGTCCCTTAGATTAGTTTACATTACAGTAAAACATACATATTGGCTATTAGCCTACATAAAGTTGTCAGGCCATGTTATATCTCTGAGTGTGGTGAAGTGCTTTTAGGAGACTAATTTAACATATCTATTTATTATATTTATTTTCTACTGAATGCTTCTACCATTGAAACATCAAAATTAGAAGTTATAACAGCAAAGAGTGATAGAGTGCTAATCTAAAGCCTGAGGGTCCCACACTCTTTAAATATTGGTTTAATCACGGAGGGGACAATCTATGTTTCTTCTGCGGAGGAAATGTTTTATGTTTTGTAGTACTACACTGCCACTCAGTGGAAATGCAATGAAGAAACGCTGCCTGGGAAATGTTCATTTCTGAAGTTACGAGTTTTGGCTTCACATTTCAATTAAAAGTTAAAGCATTTTTAGTAGAACGTTTCATACAAATATATAGATGAAGCTTCACATTGTTTATATCAGATCCGAGTCGGATCCACTACAACAAAGTCCGCTCCACAGTTTCATTGAACTAAATGATATTACTGATGCCTTCAGGTACATTTCGTAGCTCCTCCCTAAAGGTTTCACTATGCCACTTTGCACGGTCTTTATAAAAACTGACCCTCTCCACTACTTCTTATAGTTCGTATGTCATACAGCTGCTCTGTACTTTAGACTGCACAGGCAAACTGAAACAGAGATGCGTGTTAGATGTTGATGTGCACTCAATTTAGGCATCAGCTTTTGGCTTACATGCCTTTATTCTCCTAAATGTCAAACTTGGATGTCTAAAACACCTCCCTTGAAATGTTGTATGGCCAAACTTCCTGTAGAAAACTCGCAATTTCACAAGGTTTTGGTAGTTGGTAAATGCATAACGTTAAACATAACATTTTAGGTAACTTTAGTAACTGTAAGAAAGCTTTCGATGCCGGCCCTTAAGGCAGCAGCTGGCCCGCTGTAAACTGTGTAGTGGTTCTCTGGATCGCCTCCATCTACTAGGGCGGGTCTTCTCTGTGTCGCTGCTACAGGGATACCAAGATGGAAATCCAGGGGCTTTCTGATGCCCAAAACATTCACTCTCAACATGGCGCCCTACACAGAACCACTCCGTCTCCACTTCGACCGGCGACAGGGTCGATACCGCGTTTTATTTCCACCGAAAATGAAACGGAAGGACTACTGGAGTCGTCTGAGCCACAAAGTGACAACAACAACAACACCAGGCCGAGGACATCACCGTTTCACCTACTGGCGGAAAATGGCAGCGGGGCGGTTTGTTCCCCTGTCAGCAAACCGCAACCAACCGATAAAACCAGTTTACCGGGTAATAGACCGAGTGTCGAACTTCATAACGTAAACACGGATAAGGAAAATGAGCTCAACGCACTGCTTGGCTCTCAAGAATTTGTTAGGGCTGCCTGGAAATACGGGTTAGAGAGCGGGGACTCTGTAATGCAAATGGCGCTGCCTCTGTTTGAAGTGGAAGAGGAATCGATTCCGCAGCGGCATTTAACGTTACCGCTCCCAGTTTTACGGCAGCAGCGTGAGGACGGCGCCTTCAAGCCGCCCTCACTGGCCAGCCACAGCGCTGCTGCGCCGGGGAGCTTCAGCACAGCGAACAGGGCGGACAAAACCACCAAGGAATTATATGTTGTTTTTAACGTCGTTCAGGAGGATGGCAACGGCGAGGCAAGCAAACACCGACCGGATGTATCATCCGAGGGCGGCGATAAAATGAAAGGTATAAAGCCAAGCCCCGGTGGCTCCATGGAGGTTGGAAACAGCAGTGACGTTATTCTCTGTGAATCTAACGACAACTTAAACTGCCTTGATAGCCAGGTACTGAAAAAAACTGAGCATGTTTTCAATTTACTAAACGACACTTCTACCGTGGCCAACGCTAAACAGGCTGCCTGTCACCGCACTGTCGAAGACGTTGTGTTGACGAACAAATATGGCGATAAGATCTGTGGCCAGATTTGCACCGAAAACAATGAAAGTAAACTGGTTAGGGAGCATTCGTCGCACTCCCGTTTAGAAGAGAGCAGTGCCTTGATTTCAGGGACCTCGGGCATCGTGGAAGCTATGGACACCTCGGACTTTATTTCAGCGGGGCTGCAGGGCAGTGCGAACCCAGCCACGGCCTCCACAAGTCCGCCTGCTAGTGAAACCTTTTCCGGAACTATTACAATAAACAACCAAAGCATCATAGTGACCATAGAAAATGGGATATTGACTCTCGCTGCCCCGCCTGAGGGCTATGTGCACAAAGAGGATGACATGGTCAGCCTGAAGGAGCACCTTGGTATGAAAGATCATGAGGATATTGTTCTTCTCAACTATGACAGTGGCACGAAATCCATCGGGAAGATCAGCACGCTGGCAGTATCCAGCTCGAGCCAGCAGGAAGAGCCCAGGCCTGGGTTGTCTGTGAGTGACTCTGAGCTGGCTCTGGTGGATGACTGCTCGCTGTCAGAGCTTGGCACCTCTCTGGACTCCTGCCCCATCGTCAAGCAAGAGGCAGGAGCACTGTGTGCTGTAACAGAGGCCGATCTGGTCACCCCGCACCCCAAAGCCACTGTGGTAGACTGTGACAGTGGGGACTTCCAATCTGTACCACTGATCAGGTCCAAGAAAGAGACTGTGGCCTCCTTCGGCTGTCCAGAACCAGGCTGCTCCTGTACGTTTGACACGCGTCAGAAACTCAAGGTGCACCTGCTGAACCATGCAGAGGACCCCCGCCCCTACCAGTGCACCGTGGAGGGCTGTGGCTGGGCTTTTGCCACCTCTTACAAGCTAAAGCGGCACCTTCAGTCCCATGACAAGCAGCGGCCACACACCTGTCAGTTCGAGGGCTGTGGGCGCCGTTTCACCACGGTCTACAACCTAAAGGCTCACGTCAAAGTGCACGACCAGGACAACGCCTTCATCTGCGAGATCTGCAGCGAGAGGTTTCGCAGTGCCACGCGACTCACCAATCACCAGAGGGTCCACTTCGAGCCGCAGAGGCCCCACAAGTGTGAATTCCCAGGTAACATTCCAGTTTTGTTTATCATTCTCCCCCTTTTCCTTATACACTTTCTGCACTTGCTGTTGGCTGATGGTCTGGTATTGTACAACCGGACACTGGTTACATTGTATATGAAGCAAATTACCTTAAAGGACATCCTGTTTACATCCACCCTGCACAAATAATTTGGAGATGCTATGATGACGATGAACTGTACACACCTTACACACTTTAATCCAAAAAGATGGTAGATATTTAAGTAAGAAGGAGCCTAATTTCTCTAGACACTGTGGCTGCTGTTAGCAAAGCCCCTTTTTTCCATACTTTTTTTAGAAAAGTGAATCTTTAAAATCCCATTGTTGCAGTAAGCTATAGATATAGAGGTGTTAGCATATTCCTGGTACAAAATGAACCTTTCAGTTAACCATTTCCTTCCTACATGTTTCCTTCTCTCCTTTGCAGGCTGCGAAAAAACCTTCATCACCTTCAGTGCCCTGTTCTCCCACAATCGCACCCACTTCAGAGAAACGGGCCACTTCACCTGCACCTACCCAGGCTGCGACAAGATGTACGACAAGGCCTGCCGTCTCAAAATCCATATGAGAAGTCACACTGGTAAGCAGACACTAGATTAGAACCAAGTGTCTGTAATATAGTGGTCTGGAGGGACTGGACCTAAATGTACTGAGTCAGTGAAAAGCGGCTCTGATTAAACCTGTTTTTTTAATTCTACAGTAGTTAATATTCAGGCCACAGAGAAGTTTAAGGCTGTTTTCTTAAAAGTCATTCCTCAATCACATGATGCTGTGGATGTGTTGCTCTTTGTTCACTTATCTCAGATGTGAGTAGCTGTTATTGCTGCATGCTTCCACAACCTGGTAATTACAAAACAAGCCACTGAAACTAAGAACGTGTCTTTTTAAACTGAACCCATTCTGAAGCATGTTAGCCGTGCAGCACAGGTTGCACCAGATAAAAGCATGCCAGCTGGCAGAAAGCCTAGGTTAAGCCCAAAATTAGCTGGTTACCAATTAATCAGTGTTGGGGATACAGGTTGTAGATTAGGGGTTTTTAACTGCTTTTGTCCAAGGGTCAGGAATTTTCTAAGCGAGGCTCCAAAACAAAAAAGGTAGGGCCATTTAGCCTGTTTTAATATTTTTACTTTCTTACAAAAACTGAATGATATTTTTATTAGCCTGTGTCAATTTGAACAGACTCTGAAACATGGGAATCCATTATGATAACTAGATACATGACTAGAAAATGCTCTCAGGCCTCCACCAAGGAGAAGTTTACTGAGGAGTCATGGTTCAAATTGTAATTGCAGAATGCAGTCCTGACTGGCAGGAAATATGAATCAACTTTTACAAGTTTGGAGGCTGTTATGCAGTTGCACTGTTATGTGACACCTGGTTAATACAGGTAACAATTCTGGGGGCAGCAATCCAAACTATAGTTGTTTTTAATGAAGCAGGCAGGCAGTAAAATCATTCTTTGAGCAACTGTAATCTGGTTTTATGCTATATGAGTCTGAACAGCGAAAGTGAAAGTAGTTGGTTGGTACGTTACCTCATTGAGATGTTGAAGGTGCAGCTTGCAGCCTGCAACAAGCTGATGCCATTTACATTCCCCAGACACAAATTCAAAAGATGCACTGCAGAATTATTTCCTGTGTGGGTATGTGTATGTATATATGTATATAAAGAACTGTATATATTTGTTTATATTGTTATTTTATGTTATTCTATAATATAATTTGTTCAATTCTGTGTAGTAGGATTGCATGATAAGGTAAACAAAAGTCATATTTGGATTATTTTAACATAGCGATATGTTTGACAATTTGTGGGAGTGATCATTTTTGTATCCCAATTTTAATTTTCACTGAAAAAAGATCAGGATGATGTGACATCTGTTGGGGTCTGTAGAACCAAAGAAACATGTTTTCTTACATCTGTAAAACAAGAATTGTAGGCCAGGGCATCTCTTCAGAAATACAGTACTTCATTCTAATGCTGCAATTCCATTAAAAAATGGAATACTGCATTTTTCTCGAGACTTTTGCCCCAGATACAGAATTCATAATACTATAAAATTATAGATATTGAAATACTTTCTGCGGGCTTGATGGAAAGCTTTGGCAGCCTGGATGTAATATGGCCAGTGGAGGACCCAGAGGTAGGTAAATAAACTTTTAATTTCCTGTTTCCAGGTGAGAGGCCGTTTGTCTGTGACTCAGAAGGCTGTGGCTGGTCCTTCACCAGCATGTCCAAGTTACTCCGACACAAACGGTAAGTGCTTATTAACCAGTGTTTTCCCCTTGATGTAAACAGGGTGAATCACCAACAGTTACTATCAGAAAAATTAGATTAACGGCTACCCTGACTTCTGATATTTCACCTGTTGACATTACCCCATAGCTTCAGCTTAGTCCTAGTGTAGCACCACAGTAGTGTTGATGCAGTTCTTGTCTGTGTTAACATTGTTTTAGGGACGCAGCTTGCAATTATTTTCAGAACTGATTTAATCTGTTTATCATTTTCTTGTTGTTTGCTCCATAAAATATCAGAAAATGGGGAAAAATGTTGATCGGTGTAAATCCAAGGTGACATTCTCAAATTTCTTGTGTGTCCTCAACCAAAAGATTTTCAGTTTACTGTCATAGAGGACTAAAGAAAGCAGAAAATATTTTCTATACTGAAACTTTTCTTAAAGTACTCAAAACAATTGCATGTTTATTTCAGTAAACTTCACCTTGCTCCTGCAGTTCTGCTTTACTGTTAAAATTGATTTGTTGTTAAAAACCAATTGGTTGTCATGAATTTGGAGCTTTGGGTTCCCATTGCATGTAGTAATGTAACAATGATGTTTTAGTTTATGAGTGTCTCACTGACCACCCCTCCTCTGTTCTCTTTAGGAAACATGATGATGACCGTCGCTTTGTCTGTACAGAGGAGGGTTGTGGGAAATCCTTCACAAGGGCAGAGCACCTCAAGGGTCACAGTATCACCCATCTGGGGACAAAGCCCTTCCAATGCCATGCAGAAGGTACGCACAGGCACCCACAGTAAAATATAGGAGAAAGTTAGTGGTTACACATGTTTTTCACTCACTTAAATCCATTATTTACACATTTTCTGAATGGTTATGATGTTTGTCTCCTTCATGTTCTTCAGGCTGCAATGCCAAGTTCTCAGCACGCAGCAGCTTGTACATCCACTCCAAGAAACATAAGCAGGACGCCAGCACCCTGAGGACCCGTTGTCCAGTGGCCAACTGCTCCAAGCACTTCTCCTCCCGCAGCAGCCTTAAGAGCCACATGCTCAAACACCACCACCTCAGTCCTGGTTAGTAACCATCAGTGCTGGCCCATGGCCTGAAAACAGATGCATTTCATGGAACTGTTGGACTGTGGGGGCTTTAATACCTTCCTCCTTAACCACAGTGCTGCGACTCAGAGGTGGCCCATTTATGTTTCTGTGCAATTCAGTTATATGCTGTAACTGTTTGTGATAACTTATTGTAATGACTGAATGAAGTTGCTACTACCTTTAGGATAATAGAATTTTACTGTAATGTTTAGTAGGTGAAAAAGTATTTGTTTTTGTTTGTATGAAACACAAAATGTAAATAATCCATTCCGCTACATGTTTCTGGGAAAATGTTTACTATCTTATAATCTGCAAACTTCCCCTCCTCTATCCCAGATGTTCTTAGCCAGATGGAGACCACGCCCACCCTCACCCCCAGCAGCGAACTCATCAGCTCCACCCCAACAACCGTAGCAGGGCCTGGTATTGCCGGGGGTGATCAGCTTACCAACTTGGACCTCAGCTCTCTGTTCTCTGCTGTGCCTGGAGGCTCTGTGCCCACCGCTGGCATCGGAGTGGGGATTCCTGTCGGTGGGGGCAGCTCTAATGGCACGTTCACCATGGACCTCTCCCTGGTCAGCTCAGGCATCCTCACCATCGACCCCTCCTCGGTCGGTGCCACGCTCTGCACCAGCAGTAGCACCACGTTGGCCAAAGCCGTGGACCCTCTTATCCTGGCATCCAGTGCTGACATGGGCCCCCACCATGGTCTGGAAGGAACAGTGGGCGACGTCCTTCCCCCACAGGGCACTCTCAATCTGGATGATGTGCAGACCGTTACCCCAGAGGCCCTGGGAACCCTCACAGCTCTCACAATGCAGGGGGCTGGTGTCTCTGTGGACCCCACTCTGCAGCACCCGCTCAGCTCCTCCAGTGCCCTGAGTGTGGAGCCCACAACCTCCCTGGCCGTTGCCCCTGTTGCCGAGCTGCTGGCCTCACCCTCAAAAGTGGTGGAGGTGGGTGGTCAGGGGGGAGCGGGGCCTCTGTTGGGCTGTGTGGAAGTGCTGGGACCCCAAGAGGGAGGAAAAGTCCTCACTCAGTTTGTTTTCCCGAGTCACAGCAACAGCTTCAGTCCACAGAAAGATCAGGATATCAACGCGGTGTCACCAAGCAGCTTCCTGGTGAGTGGTCTTGCTGTCACAGTTTAAAGAGGAACACTGATTGTGCACATCAAAGTCTCACATCAAAAGTTTGGGCGACTTCTACATGTGTGAAAAAATTTTATTAAGCCTTTTGTGGCACCAGAGGGAGTTGTCTGTCCTCAAGTGATCTCAGTTGAGTCAGCATCAGCTGGGGCTGAAGACTATAAGTTTAAAATGCAAGTTAGAAAGAAGTGATCTTGCCAGCCCGCTCCAGATATCTAGAAGCTTGAGGCTACATTAGCTGCTACTATCACACCACACCTACTCCCTGACCAATTCTGGGTAATGTAGGCACAGGTTTTGATAATGAACAAAAATACTGGTTCTGCCCCCTTCGATTTTCATCCTTAAAAATAAAACAGTCCATTGTGAGGCAGAGAGTGTTCCAAGAGTATAATGCTAAAAGAATGGCGTACTCTTTTAGGGAAATGTGCATTTGCTTTTTGTCTTCAGTGGTATGAAAGGGTCTGATATTTAGGAAGTGGCACGAATATCAGCTTCATTGTAGTTGTAGTAACATACATACGTCCAGTGGTTTTGTGGAGTAATTTTTGTTCCCATTTTGCTCATCAGGAGAGTGGAGGCTCAGCCAGGACTGACTACAGAGCCATCCAGCTGGCCAAGAAGAAGAAGCAACGAGGTCCCTCAGCCTCCTCTGGTAAGACACACCAGTTTTTGTTTCTCCTCATTCAGACTAGACGGAGACTAAAGTGTGCAACAGTGAGTGATGATGGTGTTCTTTGCCAAATCCAGGGAGTTCTGGATCGAGTCAGAGGAAAACCAAAGGAGTAAAGGCAGCCGGGGCTCCAGCACCGATGGCTCCCTCCGGTGCTTGTTACAGTGAAGGGGCTGCAGCGGCCAATGGGGGCCTGACTCTTCGGGATCCCGTCACCGGGGCCCAGTATGTCCAGATTCAGCTGCTGCAGGTGAGACCCCCAACATCTTATTACAATACAGTTTGTTTCCCAACTACACTGTGTGTGGATGTCATGTGGCTGGATTACGTTACAACCTGACATAAGAATAGTTCATAGATTGATGTTGACAGAAAGCAAATGCAATGGTAGCGACTGCACTGCATAAAAAACATAGCTGTTGCTGACCAGAGTGTGTGTACGTGCAGGATGACCCAGCCAGTGATGGCGACCTGGCCTTCCAACTGAGCTCTCAGCCCTCCAGCTCCCACTCTCAGCTCACTGCCGACCTGCCCGTCAACATTTTACAGGTGAGAAAGATCTCTCCAATTTCTGATGCCTTTACATTAACACTGCCAGCAGCTGTACTGAGACACACCTAGTGTTAGTGAGCAAATCAAACATTCAAAAGGAAACTCATTGCACAATTTGTTTTTTTATTTTATTACATTCACAAAAAGAAATAAACATAAACACACTGACAAAGTGAAATGTAGATTGAAAAAAAAAAAGAAGAAAAAACACGTGAACAAAATGACCTAAAACACCAGTGTGTAGGATTTAGTGGCATCTAGCGGCAGAGTTTCAGATTGCAACTAACTGAACACCTCTTGTGTCTGTATTTGACAACCTGGGAATGAGCACAGTCTGTGAAGTGTGTAGGAGAAACTACAGTGGCCACAAAACTCACAAAAGACCCTATCTACAGCCAGTGTTGTTTTTCTGTGTCAGTGTAGAAACATGGCAGTTTCTAGATTCTAAAAACACAACAATTCTTATTTTCAGGTGATTATACACTAATGAAAACATACCTATGAATATTATATTCCATTTCTGACAACAGATCCGCCTGAATGTACTTTTAGTTAAATAGCTAAAAGTAATGGATAAACTGTTGAACATTGTTAGATAAAACGAGAAAAAAGGGAAAATCAGTTACAATCAATCAATTACTTCCAAATATTCTTTTCTGTGAGTGTTGATTAGGGCTGACCTGAAAGTTTCAACCATTGCCATGGTATTTCCAATGCTTGGTGTTTTGTTTGTTTGTTTTTCTTCAGGCCAGGTCGAAAACCTGATCCTGCAGTGTTTCCCACATAGACTTTACAGCCAGAGACCCATTTTGGCATTTTGCTGAGAGACGTTATCTGGGGAGTATTTTACAATCACAGACCAGATAAAGCATTCAGTACCATGCTGATGTCGATGGATTCGACAGGCTCCTCCACACAAGGCTCACCGGCTGTTGTAAAAACAGAATCATGGGTGAAAAATCTGAAACGTGTGTTGTTTTGTAGGCAACTTTATAAAAATCTTGTTGGAGAGACAGCGAGAGAAACAGAAAGAAGTGGAGCAGGGCAAGCCGGTGTGTGAGGTGCAGAGAGAGCGCAGTGTTACTGTGTGCATGTGTGTATGGGGGGGAAAGAGTAGCAGCAGAGTGAGCAGATTTAAGTAGTTAGTCCGTCAAAAGCTTTAAGTATTCGCTTCCAAGCACAAAAAGTGGTATTGGAGTTTTGATCTTAGAGGACTCTCTGACTGTCTCCTCACAGGAACCTTCAGTGATGACAGAGGACGACAACGGCTCTGATAACTCCCAGTTCACAGGAAGCACAATCAACCTTCAGGACCTGGAGTGACCGCCACAGAGCTGCACGTCAGAGGTCTGCTGCCATGACCGACCTCACTGGCACATCGTCACTGTCTGCAGTTTACATCAACAAACACACCATCAAACGGTTGCCTCGTCCTTTCCCAGGACTTTGAAAGCCTTTTTGGACACGCGGTTAATACAGTGTGGGGAGGATGTGGACATGAGTCCACAGATAATGCACCTTGAGAAGATGAGATGAGGATTTCCTTGTTCAAAAGATTATAATGTGTTTATTACTAAAGTCCAGTTTGTACCAAAATCAAACCGGAGAGCATTCTCGTGTCAAACAGACACGTGAGAGGCTCTCTGTTCCTCTGTGTCCTGTGGGTTTTGACAGTAACGGTGTCTATTCCATGGTGCCACATTGCCACTCATGCACACACAGTGCGCTGTCTACGCTCCAGTTGCCTTACAGACACCTCACGCTGTGCATTCCAACACCGGCCGGTTATCTGCTTTATTTGTTGCTCTTTTGATTTCTTACGTTTTGTTAGATTTATTTTTCTATGGCAGCAGTGAGTCCATGTTAAAAACATGCCTGTTCATGTCTTTATATACAGTATGTAATGAGTTCCTACCTTGTTGTAATAATTTTATCTGTTTATTTATTATTTAGCTGTGGGTTTACAGAATGGCAGAGCCAAACACAGATGAATTAAAGAATCAAAGCACAATCACAAGAGTTTGTGGGGAAGCCTTCATTTCACTTTGCTCAAATATATGAAAAATATTGTAGAGTACAGTACTGCTAGAAACTAACTGCATCGGTAGTTATCTAGTTTGTTACACAGACTGAAACACAGGCTCATCAGGTCCGGTATGTGGTCGGGGTGGGAGCTCAACCAAATGCACATTAAGGCAGCAACAGTGCAGTCGTAGCCCGGTTACTGACAATCACTGATACCAAGTCCACACACAGGGATCACACACAGGGATTACACACTGGCACACAAACAAAACCAAAGCTACCCGTCACAGCCACGACACAAAAACACCCCTCTCTGCATCCTCATGTTACATGTTGATGGCTACAGTGTCTCTTAAGGCAGTGCTTCTCAACCTTTTAGTGTTACTCCCAAATTGATAGACACCAGGCTGTGGATCCATACTTGATAGCTGTGGTCTCAGGGGTCCCTGCCTGATGACTGTCTGTACTGTAGATTGGCAGATTAAGGGCCTTTACACACTGGGGGCATTTTGTTTCAGGCAAAAAATATTTTAATAAAAATTACTTACTGCAGCTTTAACAGAAAATAAAGAGAAAACGAGAGAAATTTAAGAAACAGTTGCTGCATGAGACTCAGAGTTTCATAACATGACAGATGTCTTGTAATCATGTGAAGAGGGTTTGGATAAAGTGAGGAAAGAAAGGAAATATTTTTTCTCATCGTGGCAGCGAACAAGAGAACTGAATTTAAATTCATTCAAATGTGGTCACTGTTACCTGTGTTATTATCAGTACTGCTCTCTAAATTTAAACTACATTTCCCATAATGCGTTGGGCTTGGAACACTGCCACCAGCCTGCTCAAAAGGGTCATTACACCCATATTGCAGTACTAATTCCAAACCACTAGATGGTGTCCAAGTCATACAGAGCAAACCCCAATGGCTTCCACACAGAGAGAGGCTAACACAGGGTTTAATATGGAAGCATGTGCTAACACTAGCATTCATACAGTTATTGTCAGGTCTCTGTTTCCTGCTGAGTCTCAACCTGCCATCTGTCTGTTTGACCTTTTGACCCGACTACATGCACATGGCAGCGAGAGCTCAGCAAGTACAGACACACACACACACACACACACACACACACACACACACACACACACACACACACACACACACACACACACTCTCAACAAGGTTCATCATTAACTGGTGAAGGATTAGGATGTGTTGTCGGACTTAGATGATGCTTAAATCTGATTGCAGATCAGCGTACTGGTATGGACTGAACCCAAAGGTCAAAATCCAGATTTTTGAGCAGCTCAGAGGGAAAATGCACTATATTTCAGACTTACCTCGCCCCAAAAGATCTACCTTTAATACCACAACATGTCCATATGCACACTTCATTCTCTATTCATATACCTCAGTATATCATCCATAGTGGTGTTGAACATCACTGTCACCCATTCATATGTATAGACATCCTTCGTCCTCACCTCCGTCATGGTCAAACCATGTCCGTTTGAGTTGATTTTAAACTGAATGTGTATTTTCTACCGTTGGATTGTAAATGTTTGGGTCTGTTTACATTCACACTGCTACCACTCGGAGTGGTATGAACTGGATATTTCAGCCATGTATCCGTTACTTCTAGCGCTTTTAACCATTATTTATCCATTTAAAGGTCCAGTGTGTAACACTGAGGAGGATTTATTGGCAGATATGGAATATAATATGCATTGTCGGTTTTTATTTAGTTAACTACTGAAACTACAAACAATTTTGGGTCATGGGAAATCATTATTTTATTTTATTGCTTCTCTACTGTAATAGAACCCCCTTTTACCAGGCCTGTACTCTTTTTATTTCTTGACTGCTGTGAGCATGCCAGGCATTGCATTTGTCAGGCAGCCACCACCACACACCTGACCTTTGTGTAGTTTATGTGCAAAAATGATTAAACCTCCTTAATCTCAGCCTGAGGAAAAAAAGGTTTTCATTAGTGTATAATCACATCAATCTGAATTTAGGAATCGTTGTGTTTTCGTAACGTTAGGATGAGCTGTTTTTCTCTGAAGATGCCACGGGTCACCTTCCACGGAGTCCGCCATGTTAAACCACCATGTTTCTACAGTAGCCCAGAAGGGGTAAACCAAACTACTCATGCTCTAGATGGGCCCTTTTGCATTCTTCTTTCTCGAACGATAGGGCGTGTGTAGTGACGGCCGCAGCCTGAAGTAGCGAGCAGACAGACAGATCAGTGCGTTCAGGGGGGCAGTGTAGGGGCTGTGCTGTTCAGAGGATGAGCCACTGAAGCAATACACTCAGTGCTGTGAGATATATTTATGAGATATTCAGATTTTGTTTTCTTTCATTTAGAATGGTTAGACAGTTTTGATGGAACTGCTTAGAAGGCGCCCTACATCAGGAATTAATGGGCACCCTGCAGCCAATCAGAATCAAGACTTGAATGTTACATAGCAAACAAGCAGAGACATAAATCAATGGTTACAGCTGACTCAGTAAGTATACACAAATGAGTTGAGCTTCTCTTCAATCTTTCAAGTACCCCTCAGCACCTGTACCCCTTGGGGAACAAGAACCCCTGGTTGGGAATCATTGGTCTATACAAGTAACAGATGTAAGCTTTGCAGACGGGTGTTGTTGAGATAGAGAGAGAGTTTTAGATGCTGATTGTTATTTGAAGATGTGTGATGTCATCGGGGATGATATGTACCTTCCCCACAGATAATGAATGGAGACTAATACTGTACAGTCACATAGTGTTGTATTTAATGGTAATCTTTTTAATAACTACATGAGCTGTTCTCTGGTGAATTCATTTCAGAACATCACTTCCCTCCAGCTGTTCCTCCAGCTCACTGCTACGTAGCAGGTTTAATATGAACCCAAAAAAAAACTGGGGTAACTGGGTTTTTGTGGTCTCAGCACAAATTTCCGGCCTAGTTTTCTGGTTTTGGACTTTAGAAGAACGATGATAGGCTAATTTGCACACACTGTAGGGCTGTCTTATCATACAAGCATTGTTTCATTTTTTCAGCTCCCCACCACTGCAGCATTCCAGTATGGGGCTGCTTGATTACAGCAAATTGCTCTTATTAGAAATAATGGAAACCTTTAATTAAGTTTTTTTTCACCAGTGTATTCAGAGTGGTTTCCCTGACGCTGTATTTTTCAGGAACTCCCTGTTCATGTTCACAAAACACGTGTTTTGGCACACAAAAGTTCTATTGCAAGACCTTTCAATGAAAGTTATCCAGTTTCCAGTTTCAACACTTATTCTGTGCCGTCCAACAGATTACACAACCATGCAGAAGCGGTGACGATCAAAAACTACTCTGTCTTTTGTTGTGTGAATAAGAGACTCACATATGGGACACATGTATGTAAGCAGACATTATCTGTTCATTCATGTTTCCTCAGTGGTCATGTGACCACACCCAAGCGGCTGATGAGTTGATGTGAAACACCTTTTGCCCCTTACCTCCCTTCTGGTCGCTGCTGTTGGTCTGAGAGCCTATTTATGTGTCTAGAATCGCAAGGTCTGTAAATCCCGACACTTTTGTCACCTTTTTCAAAGAAATCTTAAGAGCCTCCTCTACTTTTTTCAGTGTCAGTGTGTGGATGATTCTTTCTATGACATGGGGCTGTTGATTCTGCCTACAGGCACATCAGAATCACAATCACAATCACAATCTGGTTTATTGCCAAGTAAGTTTTTACACATACAAGGAATTTGCCTTGGTGCATTGGTACATTAAAAAAATTAAGTACTAAATATAAATAAAGATAGAAAGATCTGGCAATCATGGCAATGTCTTCAGAAAACAAAAGAAAACAATATCTGAAACCCAAAATGCATCGCTGCCCCAGTAAAAATCCAAAACATAAATGAAAAATACAAACAACCTATTTATGTTGAACATTGGCAATTAAGAAGCAGTGGATAGATATAGACATAGTCAGTGAAGGGAATCATCTTATTTTTAACTAAGAACAAAAAGAAAATAAAATCAGCCTAATAACAAAAGAGACTGTCGTAAGAAAAATGAATGACTGAAAACCCATTGAACTCATTGAAGACAGGAGAATAAAACATGTTTGAGTAGGTATAGTAATAAAAAAGAGAAAGAATGACTCAGTCGGAAGGAGCCCTAAACAGAAAAGCTTTTTAACTGATTTGCTCAGAGACCATAAGAATGAGATGATCAGAGCGTCTTAGTGAGTAATGTAAGGGACAAATAATTATTTTAAGCATTATGATTCATTCAGATGAATGCATTTTAAAATAAGTTGATAATGAAAGTATGTTTTGTAGTGTATCAAGCATTTTACACAATGGTGCTCAAAAAAATAATCTGCAGAATCTATTATAGATGAAACAGAGAGGAAGGAGACTGGTCTTTAAAGCATTTTAATAAATTAGATTAAATGTAAAGCAATGTGAGGAACGATACAGAACACCAATACCAACAACCCAGAAGTGTGGGAAGAAATGAAAAACAAGATAGTGTCGGAATAGTTTTTACTGAGAAAGCAACAACTGGGTCATGATGAAGGTCTGACTGATAAAAGTAGAGCTGACAGTGTTCACAGCGCTGCTACCTTCTCTCACATAACTTTAAATGAATTATAATCGACTCTGTTGCTTGCTGAAGTTATTATTGAAAGTGAATCCATTGCATGCAAGTTATTTTGCAGATTTAACGTCAGGGTGGAAACTGTATCTTGGAAGCAAATGAACAGACATGAACTCCTCACAGCAGGAAAAGCACAGGTGTAATTAATCCTGATTGCTGCATTACATCCAGGTGAGTCGGTCCCAGCGGGGCTCTGGGGTTGATCATGCAGGCTCACTGGGACTCTGACATTATTAGTTACACCCGTGCTTTGACAGGTTGTGATGCTGCGTATTTCAGGTTAAGAATAGCCATCTCATGTTTGGTGGGTTCTGGCTCAGGACATGATGGGTAAAGCTCCTTCTTTAA